AGGGACCTTCAAGACCATCCAGTTCCACCCCCTGCCATGGGCAGGGACATTTTCCACTAACCCAAGTTGCTCCCAGCCCTATCCAACCTTGCCTTGGACACTTCCAGAGATCCAGGGGCAGCCACAGCTTCTCTGGGCAACCTATGCCAGGGCCTCCCCACCCTCACAGCCAAGAATTCCTTCCCAATATCCCATCTAACCCTGCCCTCTGGCAGTGGGAAGCCATTCCCCCTTGTCCTATCCCTCCAGGCCCTTGTCCAAAGTCCCCCTCTGGCCTCCTTGGAGCCCCTTCAGGCACTGGAAAGGACAATTAGAACATCCCAAAGCCTTCTCCAGGCTGAGCAATCCCATTTCTCTCAGCCTTAACTGATTGGATTAACTGCTTTTATAATCATATTTAATTCTGAAAGGAAATTACACAAAAGTTCATAAACAGCTTGGGGGAAAGACATTATTTTGGTGATCAACTGCATAAAGCTTCCTCTCTGCCTTGTTGATTAAACATGAAAACACTCATCCTCATCCTTTTTTTCACAGCAGTGGAGGGAAGTCACCACAATTTCAGCACCACCCCAAACCTCCCATTATATGCTCAAAAGATCTTTCTGTGATTTTCTGTGGTACTTTTTACAGCTCCATAGCCAGCAGCTCTCCTCCTCAGGGGGGGAATGATGCACATCTGATTCTCGCTATGTCACTCCCGCAAAGCATTAAATGTAACTCTAATGATCAGAAACTGAGCAGCCCAGCTCGTGTTTCACACAGGAGGGAGGGGCTGACCACACCGGGTGTTACTCGAGCTCTGCTTACACAGCTACACCTCCTCCAGCCTTACACAATGAGTAGAACACTGGATACTCATTCCCTACACAGGCACTGCTGCTGGACTGAACAGTGGTCACAGCACTGAGGTGAGCTAAGTGTATTGTCAAAGAAGAACGTGGCAGGATGAAATATTCTGCCTACATAATTCTGCTAAAGAAAACAGTTGATAGTATTTTCTACTAGAGTAAAACAGGTAGTTTCACACACAGTCAGAATTAATCCTGCAGCAATTATAGGAGAATAAAATGAGGACATGGATGCAACAAGAGAATAAAATGGCTGTGAGCACGTGTATGCATCCCACCTCCTTTTAAGGAATCCAGGAGAAAAAAAGGGGAGATCTCGCTGTTCCATCTTTTCCAGGGCAAATAACTTAAAGCCAGAAGGATCCCAAACTCTATCCAAGCCTTTTCTGCACCTCCTCAAGGAGTTCAGACCCTGGGAAGGGGGAGTGAGAGACATGGAGCTCCTGGAGTGGGTACAACACAGGACAACAAGGATGACTGGGGGTGTCTCTGTTACGAGGAAAGGCTGAGGGAGCTGGGGCTGTTCAGCCTCCAGAGGAGACACTGAGAGGGGCCCTCAACCATGTCTGTCACTGTCTGCAGGGAGGGGGCAGAGGATGGAGCAGGCTGTGCTCGGGGAGCTCAGCGATGGCACAAGGAGAATGGGCAGGAACTGACGCCCAGCAAGTTCCACCTGGACATGAGGAAGAACTTCTTCCCTGTGCAGTGACTGAGCACTGAAACAGAGACCAGAGAGGTTATGGAGTCTCCCTCATAGGAGATATTCCAGAACTATCTGGACACAATCCTGTGCCATGTGGTCTGGGACGACCCTGCTGGAGCAGGGAGGTGGGAACAGATGACTCACTGTGGTCCCCTATCACAGAATCACAGAATTATAGAATATGCTGAGTTGGAGGGACCCACAAGGATCACCCAACCCTCAGCCCTGCACAGGCCCATCCCCAAGAGTCGCACCACGTGCCCTAGAATATCATCCAAACACTCCTTGAGCTCTGTCAGCCTTGGTGCTGTGCCCACTGCCCTGGCGAGCTTGTTCAGTGCCCAACCACCTTCTGAGGGAAGAACCTTTTTCTACTATCCAACTTAAACACCCCTGACTCAACTCCAGGCCATTCCCTGGGGTCCTGTCCCTGGTCCCCACAGAGCAGAGATCAGTGCCCGCTCCTCCTCTGCCCCTCACCAGGAAGTTGTAACCGCAGTGAGGTCTCCCCTCAGTCTCCTCCAGCTGAACCGACCAAGTGTCCTCACACGGCTTCCCCTCAAAGCCCTTCACCATCTTCGTGGCCTCTTTTGGACACTCTCTAATGACTCAATATCTTCCCTACATTGTGTCCCCCCAAACTGCCCCAGTATTCCAGGTGAGGCCGCCCCAGGGCAGAGCAGAGCAGGACAATTCCCTCCCTGGCCCGGCCAGCGATGCTGTCTGTCTCTAATACCCCCAGGACAGGGCTGGCCCTCCTGGCTGCCAGGGCACTGCTGACTCATGGCCAAGTGGCCACCCACCAGGACCCCCAGGGCCCTTTCCCGGCACTGCTTTAGTGCTTTCCAGCACCTCATGCCCTGGGTTATACACACAGCCACGGCTTACCCGTCCCAGGAGCAGAATCCGGCACTTGCCCTTGTTAAACTCCCAGCCTGGCCGTTTCCGTGACTCTGTGGTTTCTGTGACTGTGTCCCCCGCCCTCACAGCAGGGCAGCAGCCAGGGGCTGCGCCGCTGACCCGGCCCCGCTCCCGGCGGGGCAACGCGGCCCCCCCCCAAGCGCTGTGCTCCCGCCCCCCGCCGCCCGGCGCCCTCCCGGCACAGGAAGGAGGCGAGGAAGAGCGCAGGAGAGGCGAGGGAAGCCCAGGACCGGTCACTCACCGCAGCCGCCCCGCGCCGCTCCCGCCTCCCGCCGCCGCCATGTTTGTTGTGCCTCCCCCGGCCCGGCCCGGCCCGGCCCCGCCCACCGCGCTCTCGCGAGACCCGCGCGCGCGGGGCGGTGGCTCTGACATCACTGGGGAGGGGGCGGTGGCTCTGACGCAATGGCCGCGGCTCTGACGTCACGGGGCGGGTCAATATGGCGGCGGCGGCGGGATCTCGGCTCAGGGACTGCGCGAAGGTGATGCCTCAGGGCGGGACGGGCAAAGGGGGGGATGCAGAGCGTCCTGCCGGATAACGGCGGCTCCCGAGCCTGCCGGTGACGGGTCCGGGTCTGGGGCCTGTCGCGGTGCGGGGGCTGCCGGGGCAGGGGCAGCTCTGCCAGCGGTGAGGGGGGTTTGTGGGTGTCTGCCTTGTGGGTTTCTGTATCCATTCTGGATATATTCTGGAGGGGGGGTGTTGGGTGAGTTCGTGCTGAGGAGAGTGCTGGTGAGTCTCGCGAAATGGCCTGTGAGGAGACAGCACCGTCCCAGCAGCAGAGGGGCTTTGAGGTCTCCTTTACTTAAATATCAGTACAAGGTTCTTCCCTCAGAGGGTGGCTGGGCACTGACCAGGCTCCCCAGGGCAGTGGGCACAGAACTCAAGGAGTGTTTGGACAACGCTCTCAGAGACAGGATGGGATTGTTGGGGTGTCTGTGCAGGGCCAGGGGTTGGACTGATGATCCTTGTAGGTCCTCCCAACTCGGCATATTCTGTGATTCCATGATTCTCTAAACACACCTGTGGCACTGGAAGGGGGATCAAAATAAGCAGAAAACCCGTGTTTGTGCCACACACATGCTTTGACTGTGCAGGGTGAGAAGACAAGCTGGCCTGGGGCCTTCTCATGCAGCTCAGGGGTGCGTTGTGACACTCGAATTAAGTCGAAATAAAGAAAACCAACCTTCCCACGATGGAGCTTCTCTGCTGGAAGCAGCTGGGATGGATACAGGAGTTGAACCCATCAAGGCAAGCAGAGTGAGCTTAGGAAAACATGTTGCTTTGGCCTTTTTCTGTTTATATCTTAATGCTCCCCCCAGGTCCTGCAGCATTAAAATCTTGTTTTAGATTGTAAAACAAACAGAAGGAAACCAAGAGAACGGGTCTTTAAAGAGCTGAGATGGAGGGAAGGATGGAGATAAACAGAAAAATCAATGTTATCAGCAACCCACAAACCAATTTTCAAATGCATGTGTTGAGTAGGGCAAGCAATCTGAGTCCTGTAGCAGCACAAATCATTACCTACAGAAAAAGAGGAGGAAGAAAAAGGCAGGGAAGCAATATCCAAGGATCTGAGTAACGTACAGGCACTTTAAATAACTACGTGAAAGTTAGTGATACCGTATGACTGCATGACTTCTAAGAATAAAAAGGTAAACAGTAAAGTAGTGACCTGATTCTTTCTGTTTTTTTAAAATATAAATGTTGAACTAAAACATAATTTCTGCACTGTGCTGTCATTACTCTGCAATACCTGTGAGTTGCTGCTCTGTGTGTGAGTGTTGCCAACATAAGTTCCATCCCCTAGATCCATCCTGCTGTTTCTAAGACTTTTCAAGGTAACTTTGTTGGGAGTGTTCCTTTTGTCCTCTAGCAACGTTTCAGTCCAGTATCAAACAAGGCTTTATTAAACCATGTCTGTTAAATGTTGGAGCCTTTGTTTCTCCTGCCTGGGATGACTGCAGTGGAAGAGCCTCCAAGGGAAAGTGATGGGAAGGAGGGAGAGCATGAGAAAGAGGGAAGAGAAGTGACTGAAGGGACAATTCCTGTGGGTGCTCGCTCTCCAAACCTGCTGTGCTGGCTGTGGACTGCAGTAACTCCGAGCTGTTTATTGGTGTTTCAAAGCTCCCACGTGCCAGCCAGGCTTTTGGCAGGTCGCCTCTGCTGGTGTCAGCCCGTGCACTTGTGCCTGACCTTGCTGGACTGCTGTTAATCAAGTTCGTCCAGCTTCCCATGGGAGAAAAATCTGTGTATTTTTTGTGATGTGCAAGATCTGTACTTCCTGCTTTTCCTGGAGCAGCATCCTCAGTGTGTGTTGGGTGATGTGGTTGGTAGTTCTACATTCCTATGTCAGGTGCCTTCAAACAACAGCAGAGGTAACCCCAGGGTGTTGTGAGGGTGGGGAGGCCCTGGCACAGGTTGCCCAGAGAATCTGTGGCTGCCCCATCCCTGGAAGTGTCCAAGGCCAGGTTGGACAGGGCTTGGAGCAACCTGGGCTAGTGGAAGGTGTCCCTGTCCAGGGCAGGGAGTTGGAACTGGATGATCTTTAAGGTCCTTCCCACCCTTAACATTCTGTGATTCTACTACCTGTTGTTGTTTCACCAGTACTGGTTTATTGCCTGCTGAGCAGCTTTTCAAAAAGTTCTCTACTAAGAAAGGCACCGTGCACTTTCCCTGACAGCTCTTGGTCAGTACTGGAGAAATATTCTCGGTAATTCGTCATATTTGTGCCACCATGAAAGAAAAACGCTCTTTTCTTTGTACTTGGAAATAAAGTAGTAGAAGGAGCAGGAATTATGTGTGGTTTGTAGCCTTGTAACTGCTGAGGAAGTGCAGTTAAATAGATGTATGTGTGTGTATACTTAGGTTTTTCCTTCTCAGACCTTGCTGAGAACAGACTTACACAGGTGGATGTTTGCACACCGGGGGGTTGAGTGATCCCACCATAGCTGCATGTTCTGCAAATAATCCATTCCTGACTGACTGCTTCCAGACAGGGTTGCCTTGGATTTAATCTCTATGAAAACAACATTTTCTTTATTTTTGTGGAGACCCACAGTGACTCCAGTAACTCAGTCATCATTTGAAAGCGTTGCAGCTACTGCTGGTCATCCAGACTTTGTATTCACGAATCAGCCCCACTAGTCAGTACCAGGGCTGTTGAATGTTCACAGCAATATTGTTTTCTATATTACCACTTCTTAATGTTTAGGGTTTTTTCTTATGTCCTGCACAACTGCCTGTGCTAAAACCAGAGTTTCCTTATCATAGTAGACCTGTGCTTCTTGTCTCTAAGACCAAAAGAGTTCATCGATCTGTTTTACATCACTTCTTCAGCCAGGGAGATGACAAGTGTTGAAAGCCAACATGAAAGACAGTGAATTATTAGAAGGATCAAAGGAATTTTTACTTCCTGACCCCGAAGTTTGTGCTGTTTTTTGAGGAATGCTGCTCTCAGTGTGCACTGTGAAGTTGCCCTGTGCTCTGGGAGCTACACAGGCGCCTGGTGAGGGCACAGCCAGTCATTCTGATGCTGTGGGGTTGAGGCTGAGTGCTGCCAAAAATGTTGGCAGGCATGTGCTCATATATTTTATGGCACAGCTATGTCTCCACTGGAGGTTTCTGTCAGCAGTTGTCTTGGTAAGACATTCCTATCTCCACACTTCAGGCTGACGTAGCAAAAGTGACAGAAATCTGTAGCAAAGATCTGACCTGAGAGCAGCAGCCACAGAGCGAGGTGGGTTTGGGCAGCTGTGAGAGCAGAGTCACTGTTCTGTTTTGCCTCTTTTGAGGCACAGTCAAACTGTGCTGCTTTTTTGAATCCTGCTTTTCAGGAGCACATTTTGCAGCAGTTTAGCTGCTGTTGGCCCGTTACTTTTTGAGCCAGATCATATCCATTATGCCAGCTTCTTTTCAGATCCTAAGAAATCATTCTGTTCTTGGAAAGTATATTGGCCTGCAAACCAAACTTACCTTTCTAAAGCCTGTGACCTGCTTGAGTAAGTCTTTGAACACTAAACAGTTTGTAGGTCCCCAAGAGAGAAGGAACCTATAATGCCTCTGTTGTCTGGGTTGGATATAAGTTCTGTTTCCCAATCATTTACTGAATAAAAGCACTGAGTAAAGTTATGTATTGCTGTGTGTGTACAAATCTAACTGTTTACATGTTCTGTACTTGTTGCCAACAGCTGACAAGAAATATTCCAGCATTCTTGGCTCCTTGGAGGTTTTCCCAGTGTGCCTTTAGATCCTCCAAATCAGAACTCAAGCCGAATCTTTCCAGTGATGGAGTTGTCTGTGCTCCACTTCACACATTCACTGAAGAGGAGACAATGCTGAAGAACATGGGTAGCTTTTATCTGTGCAGTTACAATTCAGAAATGTTCAACTAGAAGGGAAATTTTAGCTTAAAATCTTATTATTTATTTCTAGTTAAATGTTGAGATTGTTGTGGAGGACTGTGCTTTACACCATGTTTCTTTTGGGGAGGGTAAGGAACATGTGCATAACCTGTCAGAAGTACCACATTCCTGTTATATTGATCCCAAAAGAGACTTTTGAAATACTTACACATTTTCTTTCTTCTCCTCATTGCAGTGACAAAATTTGCTCAGGAACGAGTGGCACCTTTCGTGCAAAAAATGGATGAGAACTCAAAAATGGAGGACTCCATAATACGGGGATTGTTTGAACAAGGGGTCTGCACACTTTTACTGAATCTTTTGTCCAGAAAGTAACATGATTTTGTGAATCTCTAGCTGTGCCCTTTTCAGATTTTTAGATTTAAAGACCGAAGGATATAATTCAAATGAAGCAAGGAGTCATTAAAATTTTAGTTTTATCAACAGCAAGACAACTTTTATTTCTTTTTTACTGCATTATCACTCTCCATGTTATAATATTTTTTGCACCCCTCCCTCCCCCACATCACATTATTATATATCTTTTAGTTCCTTGTCATCCCTTCCTTGCTTTTTTTTTTAATTGGATAAGCATAATTGCATTGAATGCTGGAAATGCCATGACTGATAACTTGCTGGAAAAGAGTCCTCTATGCCCTACTGGGCAACCATGAGGACTTAGATATCCTGGTATTCATTCCTGGATTCAGTTTTATCCTTTCCTGCTATGAGACCTAAAGCTGATCCTTAAATTGTTTTCCAGCCTAAACAATTCTGTGAAGAACTGTCAGTTTGTTAAGGGTATTGAAGGAAAACTAGTTTTGGGGAAGGATCTGCAGATGCTCACATTCTGTGGGTTTTATTTTAATCTCTTAAGTATCAGCTTGGACTGAAAAGTTGTTGACAGGAACTAACAGATTGATGTATTTGCACCTTTTCCATTTCAGCTGATGAGTATTGAGCTTGGGGAAGAATATGGAGGAACTGGAGCTTCATTTTTTTCAACCATATTGGCAGTAGAAGAATTGGCCAAAGTTGATCCAGCTGTGTCTCTTTTATGTGAACTCCAAAACACACTAACAAATAAATTGTTTACCACATATGGAACAGAAGAACAGAAGAGAACTTACCTGCCCAGAGTGGCTAAAGACACAGTGAGTCGAAGTCTTACTTTACTTAAGTATTAAAATTATATTATAGTTTAGTAATGTTAGTGGGGTTTTTTTTCACTGACTAATGTGTGACTGCAGCTCTGGAAAATAAGTGTGAACTTTGAAACACTGGTTAGAGCTGAGATCTGTGGTGATATAGATACATCCTGTCATCAGTAGCTGAGAGGTAAAAGTGGAAGAGCACTTATTAGTTTCATTAAAATTTAATTTACTGTGGAAAAGAACTGTAAAGCAGTTGACTTTGAGAAATGTGTAATTACATAGTGTTTCTATTCTTAATCTCTGTATCTGAAACTCAGTTACTTTCATGCAATAGGTTAAAATGTTTGAATTTAGGAGACTTGTGCTTGTTTATAAGCATTTCCATTGCAGAATTTGTTACCTGTAAAAACTGCAATTCTTTTTTTTTTCCTTCTCTTGACAGATAGGCAGTTTCTGTCTTTCAGAGGCTGGGTCTGGCAGTGATGCCTTTTCTCTGAAGACTCGGGCTGAGAAGAAAGGAGACTACTATGTTATCAATGGCTCCAAGATGTGGATTAGCTTAGCAGAAGATGCAGGAGTTTTCTTTGTGATGGCCAATGCAGATCCATCCTCAGTGAGTTGCATCTCAGTGACAGCTATGTATATGAAACTATGGATTTCATATTAATAATCTGTGCACCTTTTCCTAGCTGGCAGCAAACCTTTAAAAATATTTCCCAACAAAAATCGAGGGTTTACTGAGCAATTTAATAACTTCCTTCAGCCAGGGAAAATAAAAATGCCAGAATCATAACTGCTGAGGTGAAGAGCACAGCCTGCATTGGTGATGTTCTGAGTGACAGAAGGACACTCAACCCTTCTGAGGGGAACTAAATTGGCACAATTGGTTAGAGCATGGTATTGATAACACCAAGGTTGCTGGTTTGATCCCACATGGGTCACTCACTTAAGATACTGGACTTGATGATCCTTGTGGGTCCCTTCCAGCTCAGAATATTCTGTGACTTAAATGACAAGTTGCTGCTGTTAAAAGGCAAAATACAGCTTAAGCTGCATGCACTGGAAAACTGAAAAGTGTCCTATAGTAAAGTATGTTCAAGTAAAAAATTACCTAGCTGAATATGCCTGTGTCAAGTTCTGTTTCCAGTTTGGATATGGGAAGTAAATTGAGAAAAGTCAACTGCAGACTTCAAAATCTTCTATACTAATATGGTAATTATCAAACACAAAGCTAGATTGTTCAAAACTTTTATTTTTTTAAACTCCTTCCAGTGTCTCTGTCTTAAAATTATAACTTGAAGGTATTTATTTTTAGAATTAAAATTTCCTGATTTGACTTAAAAAAGAAGAGGGGGTTTTCTTTCATTGAACATCCTGTTAAACTATAATTACCACCAGACAACGGTGCCAGTGCTTTAGTAATACAGTATTAAGCAAGTGTAAAATTTCAGTATTGAAATGAGATATTTGGACTACTGTTTGGTGATATGAATGTAAAAAGCAGCCCTTGATTATTTTTTAATTCCCCCCAGGGATACAGGGGAATTACGTGCTTCATAGTAGATCGCGACACAGAGGGACTTCACGTGGGGAAGAAGGAGGACAAGCTGGGAATCAGAGCATCTTCTACCTGCCCAGTGACTTTTGACAACGTGAAGGTATTGTAAGTTCAGCTGTTGAAGCATAATTTGTGTTTGATTGGAACTTGACCACAGATAAGGAAAGAAAGTTAACTAAATTCCCTGGTTTTTATGCCTTGGATTTGGCATATTTTAACTTTTCCCTCCCAGTTCTCGAGGGGGTTCGAGTCTCTAAAGTTTTGATGCAGTTTTTCTCAGTCATCAGGTTATAACCACAGGAATCAGGGAATGTTCCAGTCAGATGTTCTGGGGATCAAATGTCTGGTTTATGTTTTATGCCTTCGCTTCAGAGGAACATTAAATAAAACATGTGCACTGATTCATCTGTGAACCCTACGAGCAGTTGTAGAACAGAACTGGAATAATGGAGTGGTTTTATTCCTCAGGTTCCTGAGACCAATATCCTGGGACAGGTTGGACAAGGCTATAAGTATGCCATTGGAATGCTCAATACTGGCAGGATAGGGATTGCTGCACAGGTGGGTCATTTGCTTTGTTACTGAATGCAGCCAGTTTGGATTGAAATTTATGAAATATTTAAAGCTATTAAGAATAAACGATTTAGAAAAGGCTTTATTAAAAGCTCAGCTGCCACTAGATGTCACTGTTCCTGTAGCTAAATTCCAGTAAAAGTGGGAACAACTGTCAGAGGGAAAATTCTCCTTTGGTGACATAAGCAATGGATTTAGAAAACATTAAATGGCAATTAGCTTGTCTGTGGTCGTTAACTTATTGCTACTGAATTATGTCAACATTCTTATCTTCCATTATGAAAATTTATTTTACACAGAAAACTCACTTTGGAAAATAGAACACCCTGAAATGTATAATATTAATGTTTCCAACTGTGATTGTATGGGATTGGCAAATGTGACCTTATGCTGACTGATGTTTTCCCAACAACTTATTTTTAAAATAAACATGATTTTCTATAGCAGAACTGTTCCAGTTCATTGTTGTGTTTGAAAATCACACCATGTGGCATCTTAGGGGAAAGTATTTACTGACCTTGAAGTAATTTCAAAATGTTGTATTTCTCTGTAAAGTCTGTTTTGATCTCAGATTGCTGCTGATCCCAATGGAAATCAGGTTCAGCAATATAATGGAATTATTTGTGATAAGTTTTTATATTTTTAACTTACTTTAACAAGCAATCTTTTCTTTGCTTCTACTTTGTTGTGCATTATGTCTGTGCTACCAAACTCCTTTATCTTTTGCCCTAGTTTGCAGACAGACCAGAAGTAATCATCCTCACGAAATTTAGACTTTCCACGTGGCTGATAATTGGACTCACTTTTCCATCATTTCTAAAGATTACCTGTGATTAAACTTTGTCTGATTTGGCATTTAAAAAGGGCTGTTCCCAGAGATATAAATAATATAGAGGCTCTGGCAGTAAAATACATGGTCTGGATTATACTCTTAATTACTCCAAGTTACACCTTAATTAAAAGTTAAGGTCAGGTAGTTGTTATATCTTAGGTACTACTTTCTTGGCACCTTCAAATTGAGAGAAATGTACTTGTCAAGAGCAGCAGCTTTAAAGCCCTGTAATATTGAGTTTATTTTTGCAGCAGTAATAACTTTAAAAGATAATGAAGATCTTAAAAAATGTAATTGTCTCTTTGAAAACAATTTCAGATAGTTTTAGTGCAAGGCAGCTGCACATATTGTTACAGGTGGTGAAGTTGATGTCCTTGGCTTTTCTGTACGAGTTTATATATAACAAATCTGGTAATGGGGCTGATTAGCAGCAGACTGCAACATTTTCTTGGGTTATTTTCCTATGTGTCATGTCTTTTTTTCTAAAAACTTAAATGAATAAAGTATAGATGACCTAGTCAATCATCAGCTTAATATGTGGGTCTGCCCAAAAATACCCACGGACATCATTAAAGGTATTTTGACTGAGCTGCTTGATGTGACAGCTGACTGCTTTTGTCCTTGTGGAAAGACAAAATTGGTCTAAATTCTTCTACAGTTGTTCTGCAGCGTTAGAAAATACTGGAAGAAATGTTAACTCTCCTTCCACTCCACTAATTTTCTAACTTCTGAAGGAAATTGCTAATTCTGGTAGTCTAGTGTCCTCTAGAAAATGAGAAATTATTTTGATTATGAAAATAGCTTTGACTAATCATTCAAATTATTTTTCCTTTAATAGTGTAATGTAGATCTATAGATCTTTAGTTTACAGTAATTTTCCCATGTAATTACAAATTTTCCCAGGAACACTTAATATTTATGCAACCACAGCTGACCCATAAGTTTTGTTCAAGAATCAGTGTTTTTCACAAATACTTGCCTATTGCAAGAAATGGAATAGCATGAAATAGGCTTGTTCCTCAAACTCTTTTTGTTATCATAACTCACCTCAGTGTGTCTAAATAACTGTAAAATTCTGGCTCTTGAGATTCTGTGTAGAACCTTTATTGTATTTTAGATTTGTGTAGGTAGGAAGAAAACTGAACTTTTCTCCTGAATATTAAGCTGCCTGACCAGAAGATCAACTGTTATCTCCAATAGGTGCATTCAATTAACCAGTTTTTACTGACCATATTCTTTATTATTTCTTGCAGATGTTAGGCCTGGCACAGGGCTGTTTTGACCATACAGTTCCATATACAAAAGAGAGAGTCCAGTTTGGGAAAAGTGTCTTCGATTTCCAGGTACTTGTTAATGAAAATATGGGAAGTGCTCTCCGAGAAAGTAATGGTTACCACAGTGGTCAGTAAAATGAGTAATATGAAATAACATAAAAATAATTCAAAACTTAAAAACATTATTGACATGACTCCTTTTGCTTGATAACTTATTGGCAGTTTTGAAAATATTGAAAATTATTTGAAAATAATACCCACGCAACTCCCCTCTCTTCTGATTTTATTATCACAGTCTGTTGAATATGTTCCAGTTTTTATACCCTTTCATGAGGTGCAGGGGAAGGCCTTTTTCTGGAGCCACTAGAAATTATAAAAAGATGAGGAAAACTGATTGAACCATTAGATTTCCTGTGTTATACGAAGACATTTAGTTTTCATTATAATATCTGTATCTTACAACGAAAGAGGCTCTTTGTTGCAGAAATGATGTATAGTTTAATAAGGAAGATACATAATTGTAATTACTGCAGTAATTTTCTCGTTAAAAGAAACCTACATCTCAGCTGAAGAGAAGGAACATTAGCACTACTCATAATTTATGCAAATTTTAGGAAGCACTCACAGATACCTAGGAAATGATTGGAACTGCGTCTTTTGAATGGGAAATGGAATTTATAATTGCCAAATCATTTTGGTATTTTGACCTGCATATATATTTCTGCAAATCTGAGGGAACCGTGTTAATGTCCTAATAAGATGAAAGATTTCATTGTGTTTTAGACTACTAAATGTTCATTTTCAATCATCATAATGTTTGGGTCTTCTTAAATAAACCCATTCTTCTGTAATGCCTGCCAGTTAGATGTGAGCTCCATCACCTTCTTCCTTCCCTTTGAATCCATTCCTCAGTCGTGTCCTCTATACCTTTATGCTGCTCCTAAGCCTTGCCTGGTGCCTCTGGGACATGGCAAGAAGTTGTCACCTTCCTAGTGCTCCACTTTATTCAAGAGGTGCTAGTTTGCAAGTCTTCCTGGGTTAAGCTCACCAGGGAACCAGGTTTGTTAGTGTGTGAATGTCCTCAATAAACAGCTGCAGAATAAAACCCCGGCTCTGGCCTCCCCGCATCTCTGCAGTGTCGAGGAGGGCCTTAAGGTTTGGCTAAAATTCTCCCTGATACTCAGGGGTGCAAATAGGTAAGCAGTAGGTAGTTCTTTGCTGCTGTCCAGCCAGTCCTCCAGTACCCCAGTCCTCCTGAATCCAGGGAAAGGGAGGGAGAAAACAGGAATGCAGCTCCTAAAAGCACATGAGTGGCCCGGAGGTTTTCAGTGTCAATGGATGCAAAGGAACACGGAACTACTGGAATCCACCTGGATTTGGTAGATTTATTTTAGGGTGTGAAGGGAATGGTTGTTGGTGGGAATTCCAGCGGGGCTGTGGGCGCTGTGTGAGCTGTGTGGTGCCGGTTGCAGGGGATGCAGCACCAGATCGCCCAGGTGGCCACGCAGCTGGAGGCGGCGCGGCTGCTCACCTACAACGCGGCGCGGCTCGCCGAGACCGGCCGGCCCGTCGTCAAGGAGGCCAGCATGGCCAAGTACTACGCTGCTGAGGTAACCCAGCCTCTCCATCCTCTGGGGTCATGGCACTGCTGCTTAGAAGTGCCTTCTGCTACGAACGTGTAACCTGTAATTCATCTTTTGCTGTGAAATCTGTGGATGTACTTTCGTCTTGTCCGCCCCCATCCCTGGGAGTGTCCAAGGTCGGGTGGGACGGGGCTCGGAGCAACCTGGGCTAGTGGAAGGTGTCCCTGCCCATGGAAGGGGACTGGAACTAGGTAATCTCTAAGGTCCCTTCCAACCCAAACTGTTCTGTAGTTCTGTGATTCTCAGTCCGGGTACAGAATGTAAAGTAAGTCACCCTCCTGCCTCTAAACAAATTTTTTAAAACGAAGCAACGACATTAAAAGAGGAAAGTGAGTTAATATTTTCACTTCATCTAGAGGGATTTAATTTTCTCAGAATTCTCTTTTTGTGGCGTGAGAAATGACACTGTGAGAGTTCATTTGTGATCATTTCAGCTCTGCTGGTCACAGCTATGACTCTTAAAATGATTCAAAACCGGGTGACTTCTGCCTCTTGCATACCACTGTTAGCCTTTTCCACAGTGCAGCATAGGAACTATTGCTCTAACATTTAGTGAATTCTTGATGTGCTTTGATTTGGAAAAATGTCTTTTTTTATTCTAAAATGGCTTGCTGAAGATGAATACAAAAATATCAACCCTTCCTCTTCCCGCCTGTTCTAGTTACTGCCTTATTCCCTAGTTTGTTTTTCCTTTAAATAGCTACAAAGAATACAATTTACTGCCACTGTCAGGAAATTGAATCCTGTAACTCTGAAACTATTTTCATAGGTTGCAACACTGACAACTAGTAAATGTATCGAATGGATGGGAGGTGTTGGATTCACAAAAAATTACCCAATAGAAAAGTATTATCGTGACTGCAAGATAGGTGAGTGATAGTTTCTTAACAAGTATTTCTTGTGGCATTAGTGGTTTTAAAGGGGATGAATGACTGGCTTTTTTTTTCAAGGTATTTTTTTCCCTAAGACTGCATGAATATGGGTTCAAAGGCTCAGATACAAGAATGTAAAACTTCAGGTGTAAATACCCGTGTATGTAAGGCTAGTTAAAATGTTTAATTACATACCAATAAAATAGACACAAACATTGTGTCCCATTCTATTCAGAAAATTCCAGTTCAAAAAAATTTAAAATACCCACTTTGGCTTTAAGATCTGAATGTATGTGGAATTCTATTTTCAAGATTCCTTGTTTACTGGAATAGTCTTTGGACCCAATACTGACATTTTTAACAATATTACCTTTTGGCTTTTATTGTGATAGCATTTGGAACTGCTTAATTTTTGTTGGCTATTTAGGAATTGCTTTTCAAGGAAATGTCTTATCATTATGTTGTGCCAGCCAGAAGAGTGCTTTACTTGTTGCAGATAATAAAACATGAACATTTATATTTTATAATATTATATAAAATTATGATTCTGTGCTAGTTCTTGCTCAGTAAAGCTTCAGTTCATAATTGAAAATGTTCTAACTGTACTGTTAGAATGATATTTTGGTCTCTCTTCATATATTCACTGTGGTTTCTTAGTCTGCTAATTCATTTTCTTCTGATTTCAGGTACAATATATGAAGGAACCTCAAATATCCAGTTGAGCACCATTGCAAAAATCTTAGCACAGGAGTACTGAAACCATAAGGACTACCTTGACTGTCAAAGGAAATTATTTCCCTGAACGCTCATTGTGAATTACCCATTTATTTGTAAATACAAAAAGCATTAATGACATCATAAATAAGAATACATCATCACAGATGAAATCATAGGGAAAACCATGAATTCCCCGTTTCAGGACAGTGAGTAATTCACGTGAAATCCTGAGTTCCACGTTCAGATCCAAAGTGTGGGTTATAAGTATATTTTTTTTTTTCTGCCTGAGAGACTTCCAAGATAATTCCTTGGATTTAGTTACCTTAGGTTATGGAAGCAGTGCATCTCCACTGGGGGATTTCAAAGTGAAAACAAAGGAAGCCAAATCCTTGGCATAACTAGTGGGAGAGGTTCTGTTAAGCCCCCTGGGAGGAAGGGCTCTACAGGAGAGAGAGGAGCAGTGGTTTCCTCTCTCCCAGCTGTGGAGCTGCTGTAATTGAAGTAATTTTTACAGCAGCCCTTAGTGTGTTCTTAAGGATATCTTTGTAATTAAGCCCTTCCAGCCCCAATTTGTACTCCTGAAAGGTGGATAATATCCACCTCCCTTCCCAGCCTTCTCAGCTGTTAAGGGTTTTAATCTAAGAGGCTATTTATAGTTCTCCTTTCATAAAAGGTTGAGTTGAAATCTTTCTGAAATGGGGTTAAAAAAGCTCTAGTAGTTCTGCAAAAAGACAGAGATATAAGCTGGGTAATAGGAGTGCTGTGATACTACCTCACAGTGGCCTTTCCATGTTCAATGCATTTTACAAGCATGAAGATCAGATCCTTCCTGGGAGTTAGGGAGGCACTGTTAATTTGCAGCCTGGAAAACTTGCTCCTAAAGTTAGTGGCTCTCCAGCATAATTTTTCCCTTTTTCAAAGACATAAAGGGGCAGGGGGATGGGAAGTATTTGGGTTTTTTTATTCCTCTCTGTTTACTTTAAAATTAGACATTTTATTTACTGCAGAAACCTCTTCAGTGCTGGAGAGCTAATTAACTAATAATCAAGAGACAGGAAGCTTAATATATGAAAAATCATCCTAATTGCTGTAATTGGCAATCTGTTTCAAGTGTTTTGGGGAGGGAAGGGTTGGTTTTCTGGTTTTGGCTGACTTAGAAGAATCTCATTTTTAAAGCTGCTGCTCACTGATGATTCACTTCGAGTGGAGCTTAGAATGTTACAGGCTGAGACTCCCAAAGGATTTTTCTGGCAAAACTGGGGCAAATGACACTTAGCAAGTAGGATTTGTAAAACAGGCAGATTGCAGTGCCTTACACAAAGAAACCAGCAAGGATGAAAAGCACCATTAAAAAGTTTTCTGACTTTCTGTCGGCTTCAAAGGGAACCAACTAATTTAGTGAATTAATCCCCTCATATGCACACTTTGCCTGTCGATAGGCAAGGAATTACTGTGGTCATTGTCCTTATGCCAATAAAAAAGCCCCTCCCAAAGCAGTTCGATCAACAGCTTTGAGATTTTCAAAAATACAAGAGTAGGAGGGTAGACTAAATGGTTTCTGAAGTTTTCTTCTAGCATCATCATTATTATTACTGTTGTTATTATTATTTTATTTGTTATTATCATAATGATTGATGCATTTCTGGTGGTTTGCAGGCTTTCTTTCATAGTCCAGGAGACAACCTGAACATCCTCATCAGCTACTCAACAGTTCATTTCAGAAAAGCAAGGTCAAGCCTTTTAACTAATGTTACAGCTGTAAATATTTCACATCTCTCGGTCATGTGTGATGTATTTTGTACACAGTTTTGAAAGAAATGTATGTCTTGTATTTGATATTTATTTACAAAATTCTGTGGAGGAATACGTGCGCAAATCTATTTTAACCTCTGAGTTTCTTTCATCATTGTTGTAAAAGGACATGTGGAGAGCATTGGCTGTGCTGGTCACTGATTCTGGGAAGAGTTAGAGAACCACAGAGTGGTTTTGGCTGGAAGGGACCTTAAATCCCATCCAGTCCCAACCCCTGCCATGGGCAGGGGCACCTTCCACTAGACCAGGTTGCTCCAAGCCCCGTCCAACCTGGCATTATTTCATCCCCTTAACTCTAAACACAGATGTTGGTTTAGCAATGAGAAGTGCTGTGCTTTGTCCAGGGGCTGTTAAGAGCTGCCTGTGCTCCCCAGCCCCTCTTTGGTTCGGGACAGGCATTTATGGATGGTCATAAACTGCATTTCTACATTCGGCACTGTGGGCACAAGCTGTAGAGCTGGCACTGGGAATGCTGTGAGGCTTTCTGTGCTAGTGACAGGGCTCAAAGCTGCTTTATGTCCTCAATATGTATTTATATTAGTGAATTTTCCCTTTTTATGCCCTCAGTCAGCCCAGCTGATCCAGTCTGTTGTCCTGGAACAGCATCTTCAGTATGAAACGTCACATATGAGCTTCCCTGGTTAGAAGAAAAGACCTGTATTGAGGATGTATTGAGAAGTGCCTGAATTTTATTTTTTACTTGATACAATACTAATCTTGTGTGTTGGGTCATGGTTCTCTAATAATCTGTCATTTAAAATTTTTACCAGATCTTGCAGGTTTTTCACCAGGGGAGAGTGACTGTATCATCTGTCAGGTTTTTCTACTTCTGTTCTGCTTGGTAATCAAGATCTGAGGCAGATTTCTGCAGAAGGGTTTAATCACTACTTGGGAGATACTCAAATACAACATTTTATATCATGTTTTCTATGCTGTTGTTCTTTCTTCCATATTTTCTTTTCCCCACGTAAAGATTCTGTTAGAAAAGGCTAATGTGAAACACAGAGTAATTGTTCATTGGGAGCCTTTTGCTGTGTAAAGACTTTTCTAATTAACATGTTATTGCATTTCCACCTGAAAATCTTTTGGTGAGAGACACGTTTCAAGCTCTTCCTACCAAGTCTGAAACCCAGACTACTTTGAAAGCAGCTGTCTGACTTCCCTGGGCTTGTATTGGATACAGAAAAGCTGAAGAAATGTTTTTCCTCAGCCCCAGAATGTATTCAGTGAACCAACGTGACAGATCTCCTGTGAGAGTTACGTGAAAGTGGTTACAGCTCCCACAAATACTTCATAAATATTTACCTGTTATGTGATGTCTGTGCAAACTGGGGGTGGAGGCACAAATGCAGGGAGAGCTGACTGGCAGATGAGTGTGTACTGTACAGCTCCCAAAGGGTGTTCACACAGGGGCACTGTGTGTTGGACCGAAATACAGTTGTTGCAGAGCATTTTGCACGGAGTTGTCTTCTCTGGAGTGTCCAGGTGAGCAGACAGGGCTGGAAATCTTGCTCCTCTGGATTGGCTCTCTGGAGTTGGGTAGTGTGGCTGATTGTACACGCAGGTGACAGCCGTGAGCCCACAGCAGAGACAGCCAAACATCAGTGCAGAGTGAATCCAGGCTGACAAATGGGATTTACTGTCATTATTTCAGTTAAATATGCCAGTTGTAAGATCAGCTGCTGTAATTAACAAAGTCCAGCTTAGTGGCATTGAGGGAGTTTCTTGTTATCTGATACCAGAGACATCATTAAGCTGCTTGGAAATCTTGGCATTTATCATCCTCTGAAAAGAATCTGTTCATGTGCAGTAGCTGTCTAATGCATTGGGTAACTAGAAACAACCAGTGTGTTTCCTAATAGCTTCAAATGTTGATTCACATTGGTATATTAATGTTCCAAAGAACATGGAGTGTGCAGTGTAACATTTTTTCTGGTGAAATATTTAAAAATATAAATCAAAAATATGTACAGTCTCAATAGGCGGCAGTAGCATTTTTATATATTTTGTCTTTCAAGATCATTTGGATTTACATCTGTTCTCTCTCTGTCTCAGTAGCTGTAGAGCTGCTAATACTGGAGGATTTAAAAAAATGTCAGGGTGGCTTCACTAAAGGAGAAGCACCTGACAGAAGATTCACTCTCAATAGCCAAGGAACCAGCACTTTCAGATCTGGATTTGTTTAATATACACAGTGAGGACTTATGAACGTGCAGAAAAAGATGTTCATTGAGCATTTTTCAGGGAGCTCTTTCCAGCTGTGAGATGCCTTTCTCTCCTGGTGTAGAGGAAACAAAGGGAAGAGCTGGAATATGATGGGTTCATGTGGAGTTTGACTCTGGGTCCTCTGAGTTCGGTGGATGCTGTTTGGGGAAGTTTCCATCCTGGAGCCTGCAGAAGGACTCTGGTTGGGTCTCCACTCCATAGGACACAAGGAGCTCTGGCACATCCAGAGCTGATGTTCTCCTCCCCGAGGGGCTGTTCTGCCTTCTCTTGGGAACATCCAGCCAAGACTGAAGGGATGACCCACCTGGCAGAGGAACAGGATCGTTTTCTGATCATCCTGGTCATCACATTAAGTTTGCCTTGGGTATTTTTGGCCTGAATTGTTTTCAAGGACACACTGCAAGATTTTCCTGTTCACTAATTTGCATCCTAAAGATGCAAATGAAATGCAAATTTTTTAGTATAACCAGAGCAGTTTTAATTTGATACTGTGTTGCTGAATTTTTTTGCCTTGGTTTAGATGGTACCCAAGGACATGATAATTACGTGTTAGAAAGCCATTAGCTTCTCTGATTATTTTTTTGATTTCTGTAGAAGGAATTTGCTAAACTGACCTAAAAATAATTGAGTAATAATTAAAAAATTTAAAGTTAAGGTTCTTGAAATGTAGTTAAATAGTGAAAAGCTCCACAGAACCTGTCAATGGAGGTGTTGAAGGGAGAGTTGGTACAGAGCAAACATATTTTAGTGCCAAAGCTGGTGCTGTTTGTTTTCGTATAGAACCCATCAGACATTCTGTTCCTGTGAGGGAGGATGTTTACACACTAAATCCAGCATTTGCTCCAACTGTTCCCATAAGAATTGAGGCAAAGCACTTTTTTCAGCTTAGGTCCTTTCTCAACTTCTGAAAATGTTTTAGTGACTCCCTGTGATGCCCTAGAAGATGGTTAATGTGATATGAAGGTTAAATGATACAAAGGCTCTATTTATGCCCATAGCCTTGTTTTCCTCATGTTCAGTGAAAAATTCCTTGTGTTCTACTGTATGACTTCTGCCAAACACAAACTGTTCTGCTCCTTTCTTAAATTATGTGTTATTTAGGTCTTCTCAGTGTCTGACCAACCAAGCTTTAAAAGGAAAACCATTTTCCCGGTTTAATTGCAGCAATGCCTACATTTGATGGATAGGGCAGCCTGTTTTGATTGTTGCTTGAATAATAAAAGCTGGATTCAGCAGGATATTTGTCATAAACTATATTTGACTGCCATGCAGGATTCACAGTTTCCAAGGACCAAAGGAAGGTGCAGCAATAGATCTTCCATTTAGTGCTGGAAGTATTTTAGCTCTACTGTACTTTGACTCCAGTGATCCAATTTGCAGAGATAAACAATTCTCTGGAGGTAATATAGCTTGTCATTATTTAATAATTATTTAAAATGTGCCTTGTTACCCTTGTGTAAGAATCTGGGCTGCAGGAGGGTTGTGGTTGTGCTCTGATTCTTGAGGGGCTGACACAGCACTGGGCTAAAGTACCCGATGGTCTGGTGTCTCAGACTATTGTAATTTAATAGCCACCCCTCTCTATCCTGCTGCTTCTATTTAGAAGTGTCCAAAAATCTTTTTTTTTTTTTTCCTTTTTTTTTAACTGCAAAAGCCTTCTGGCACTAAATTACATCTATTTCTTGACTGAAACATATCTGCTCTATGCTAACCTCATTATCCAGGAATGATTTCTAGAGGAGGAAGTGAAGAATAATTAAATCATTCCTAACTGAAGGAAATGCTTCGCAGAACTATGCAAATTCCAATTTGGCCAAGATGCTGTGGTTTCATGTTCTATTTCTGGGAAGGGCAGAGGGAGAAACAGTTATTTTTGGAGTTATGGACAGCCAGGTTCTGGCTTCAGTTTTCTCTCTTGCCTCAGGCTGAGTGCAGGGACATCCCTGTCCAGGAAGGAGCACAGCTCCTGCCATCCCTCTGGTACCTTTCCTATGTAAGAGCTTGTAAATTAAACTTTCCCTCCTTGCTGCAAGTGTCCTCTTGCTGAGACCCCTAAAATGAGGGATTTTCCTGCAAAAATAGGGCTCAGCCCTCATCTGAAGCAGTGATTTCTCTGTGGTGCTGTGCTGCCCTGCCACAGGGCAAAGGTACGAGGGCACAGACCTGCTTCCCCCGCTTCTCAGCCCGTGACGAAGTGCCTGGAACAAAATCAGGATTGTATTTTGGAGGTAAAAAATGGGATTGCTGTGTGAGCACTCAGCAGTGCCTGATGGAGCCCATGGGCTGGGCACAGCCCGCCTGGGGCTCACGTCTTTAGGTTTTCACATTTTGCCATCTGCAAATCTGACTCTTCCAAGGCTTAAGGCAAAAAGAAGGTAAAAAAAAACAACCCACACAGCTAGCTCTTTTTACCTGGAAATGTTTGCAAATACATTAGTGATGTGTAATTGAATTATTAATTGGGAAAAGTATAATTAGAGTCCTGGAAGAATGGCTTCGCAATGCTCCACAGCTTTTCTCTTTCAAGGAATCAGATTGCTCAAATGAGTTATGCACTCAAGAAATCTACTTAGAATTAACAACATATGTCCTACTTTTTTCCAGCTTTTCCTTTAAAAGTTACATCTTGTAATGATGAAGTGTAAAGAGCAAACTTCAGTGATTTGCAAAAGGTACCAGCCCTGCGCCTTTTCTAAACGGGTTGATTTATGTGCTGTTTGCTGTTTTTGAGAACACAAAACAATTAATTTATGTGTGAAAAGAACAGTGAATTAATCCTAGAGAGCCCTGGAGCCTTTAAAGGCCTGAATCATATGTTGAGCTCGTTTAAAACTTGCATAAGAAATTAATGTAGAATAAAGCCCTTTAATTTGAAAAGTGCATCTATAGTAGGTGTCCCTAGGATATCTTCAGGATCATTATTCAGAAAGGTTAAGGAGGACTTTATTTTTTCCTTTCTTTCTTTCTTTCTTTCTTTTTTTTTTTTATATTCAGTATGTATTTTCCAGTTTGCAGCTCAACGTGGTGCATTTCAACTTATAAAGAGGCAGAGATTTTAAAAAGAAATGGGGAGCTTTTTATTCACCTTCCACTTAATTTCCTTGCTGCCTTGCCAGTCCCAGCTTAATGAATGTAATTGCTACCTTTGATGAAAATACTATTATCAAGATCACACATTACATTGGAAAACAGTTTTTCTTTAAACACAGCTACTGCAGTCTCTAATTATGCATGTAACAAGTGGCTCCTGAACAAAAGAGCATGTTGTCTACAATTGCTAGGAATTGGAGCAAGGCAAATTTGAACAAAGAACAGATTAGATTTGCTCCATGCTCCACAAAGCCCATTCCCCTGATTAATTTCCTGCAAAAACTAAAACAATTCTCTCTTAAAAGAAACTAACCCTCATCCTCAGAATGATCCATATGCCATTTGTGTCAATCTATATGATGATAATGGCTACAGATTTAAATTATTAACTATTAGGTGTAGTAAAAGAGGAAGGCTCTTTTATAAACTTCCCTTTTCATATGTAAATAAGCAGTACAAGGACTTAAGGAACAAAAAAACTGACTTTTCTGTGGAAACCAGGAGCAAGAAAGCACCCAGTAACTGAAAGTCTGAATTGTGCATGTATAATCCAATTATTTTGTCAGTTTACCCCGTGCTCTGTGTTCTGCACGGGCAGTACAGCAGGAGAAT